TCATTTCTAGGTCTGATCTCTGTCTTCCATATGTGACATCTGTGAAATACTTCTCCAGCTGATCCTGGATGATGTGACAGGCCAGGTCGTCTAGTAGTATAAAGCAGTTCCACCTGATCCCTTCTCAGAGAGAAAGCGCCACCTTAGCATGCTCCCAGCCCAGATGGCTGTTCTCCATTTACCAGTTTTACTTTCACAATTTCCTTTTTTACGGGCATTTTACTTCTAAATGAGAGAAAATCATGTGATCATGTTACTTTTATAGCTATGAATATTGGAAACCTGCAACAAAATTTCCGTGACTGCCACCCACCCCCTCCTTGCCCGGTTCTAGGCTGGGTCAGCAAGAGCCCCAACACTCTCAGAACGGAGCCTGTACAGGCTGGGTCAGAGCCAGGTAAGAAACACCCCTCGTGCCTTCATTCTCAGCAAGCCAGTTGTAAACACATTTCAGACCTCTTGGTTTCTCTCACTTCTTCTGAAGTCCAAGTTCATGTTCAAGATGGCTACTGCTAAAGCTTCTCTGTTCGTGGTCAGGTCTCGAGCTTGGACAAAATAGAAATACCATGGACGTTGGTTCCACTAGCTTCCTCACACATTGTAGAATGAAGCATGCGCATCAATGATCTCAAGGTCGACGTGTTGAAAAGTCAGAGCTCTGGAGGTGGGGGAGGAAACCTGGCCTGAAACTGCTTGGAAGGAGAGAACAGGGGTAACTGGAGGCCAAGGGGGTACTGAAAAGTCAAGAAGTGAGGTTGCTGGAGATATCTCAGTGCATGGCATATTCAGCCTGATCAGAACCTTGAGCATGCAAATATTTAAAGAATAACTGTCGAGCCAGCCCAGATGGTCTAGTGGTTAAGGTTCGGCACTCTCACCGCTTCGGCGGCTCAGGGTCACTTACTGGTCGCGGAACCACACCACCTATCTGTCAGTTGTCATGCTGTGGCAGCAGCTCACATAGAAGAACTAGAAAGACTTACAACTGCAATATATAACCATGCTTTTGGACTTTGAGGAGAAGAGAAAAATAGCTGTGCAGAAGATTTGAATATCTACTGCCTTGTGCTGTGTGTGTGTGTGTGTGTGTCTGTGTTCGCCTGTGCTCTACTCAACATAACTCGAGAGTCAAAAGAATCAATGAGGCACTATGACACTGAATGCCACCCCTGGTAGCCAGAGTTAAAGAACAGCAAACGTTGATGTTTGTCCCTCGTGTCAGGAGCAGCTGCTGTGGTCACAATGTTACCTGCTTAGCCAACCTCTGAAGGGTCAAAACAGCCAAAGGAGTTTACTGCAGGGAGCTGTAAGTTAGTAAAATATGCACTTCAAAGCATGGGGAAAGTGAGTCTTTTCCCAGTTTGCTCCCAGATCATCCTCACCCAACGGGTTGCCTGGCTCTTTCTCATCCTTCTGAGTAATCAAGTACTTAAAGAAAACTTCTTCTCTGCTCCAAACGAGGTCAGGTCCCCCATTCCGTACTCCTTAGCATGCTTTCCTGTTCCTTTGTGCCCTTAGTACAATTATAATAGATAAGTAATTGTAATTAGTTATGAATTTTGCCCCCCTCTTCTCATGCTTTATGCCTATTGCCTTAATATTCTAAATTATTTGTGAATGAATGATTTGTAATTTCACATCTAAAAGTCTCTATGATATGTAATAGCAAAAATCTGATTTAGAGAGATGTAGAGAGTATATTTTCCTTTCATTCTAAGGTCAGATTCCTTCCTTTATACAGCTATTTTCAAATCCAAAAGCCCCAATGAGGCTGTGCACGTAACAGAGTGGCTGGGACGTTTCTGGACACATAGGTGCACTTAATGTATGTGACGACATTCGGTGGCCGCGATGACTCAGCCGCTCTTTAGAGCTCATTGAGATAGTTATAGATTTCTATTTAGAGTAAATTTAGCGATAATGACAGCAGCCGTCATCACCGTCACAGCTAAGTCAGAGAAGCAGCTTTTATCCAGAGAACTGAGGGCCCTCATTTAGCCTGGTACTCCTGCCTCCCTTCAGACTGCCCACGTAGATCCTAACACACCTTCCAGCACCTTCCTGTCCTGCCTTTACTGGAACCTTCCCTCACTTCTCCAGCTGACATCATCACACCTAATCTAAACTCCCAGAGCCCTGACATGCTTAACGACACGATCGAGCATTCATCCACTCGTCCAACAATTATGTGTTGTACAGCACCTAAAATGTGCCAGGAACTGTGCTGAGCATCTTGAAATATCCTGAAATACATCACTCCCTATTATTTCACAGGAGCAAGGTTCATGGAAGGGATGAGGATGGAGGTGGGGATCGTGTCTTATCAAGTTTATCCCTAATGCACTCAGAACAGTGTTCAACGATAGAGTTAATAGATGATGTTACCTTCATTTCATGACTAATCAATTTAGTGGATAGCAGAAAGGACTGACTAATCCATATGGAAAGGGAATTGACACTAAGTAAACCAAAACAGGGAACAATGGCAAGGAAGAGACTAGGCAGAAAATAGCAAACAGATATATTCTTAGGAAGGGCTGAAGCTAGAAAATACCAGCCCCGGTTCCACATAGCATCAAGAAGTTTCAGCTGCTGCTTTTGTGTGACACTACTGAGCGACATGGTGAGGCACAAATGAGGATGCATTCCAGAGAAACCACCGGGAGACAGGAAAACAAAAGAAGGAGGTAACTGTGAAGAATTACCTTAGTAGGTGGCGCCACTGTCACCGATGAAAGCAGAGATGTGCAGTAGCAGAGTCAATGCGGTGCTGGCTTACTAGCATCAACAAGGAGCAAATCTGAGCGGGCACAAGAGTTCCAAGCTTCTAGAAATGCATTGAATATTCAGTGAGCATTCTGTTTTCCATGAAGCTTGTTGGAATACATTCCTATCCTCTCTCATTTCCACATGTGAGCGTGTGTCTATTCCTTGCATCATGAAACAAGCCCAATTAAGAGACAGCTCAAAACTGGGTTTGTCCTCTCCAGACAGAGCACCTGCCACCTCTGCTCCTACTTTTTCTGTAAAAATGAGACCATGAGAACCATAAGGACTTTAATTGTCCCTACAGTTGAATATCTGACTGCTTTGCCAGAGAGAGCAGAGCATTTGATGTTGACCCTCCAGAAAATATCACCGAATCTGTAAATTTTAGAGACTTTTTTGGTTCCTATTCAACTTGAAATATGTTCCTTCTCACCCAGCGAAATCTCTCCTACAGCCACAGGGCAAGCCAGGCCACACAGTGATCAGAGCAGAGAGACAGAAAGCAAAGCATTGTGATGTACAAGCTGGATGGATCCCCAAGGTTTGGGGGGGTTGGAGAATGAGGGGAAAGGAGACATTTTTCTGTATCAGAGGCAAAAGAAACCTCTTTAAGTTTCAAACAATTGTCAATTAAAAAGGCAAATATCTGGAGTTAGAGGAATGCAATTGATGACTCTCTCCTTAAAATCCAAAGCAAGAGCAGATGGAGAAGCAGAGTTCTCAACATTTGGTCTGCTCGCGGCCCTTAGAGGGAAGAGCCCATCCTAGCATAAAGGACATGGGAATAAGCAATGGGAGGCAAAGAGGGAGACGGTTGGGAAGCCAGGATAAAGAAATCTAAGCAGGACACACACAAAATTAGCCAGGGAGATTTACTGTAGTCCTGTCTGGCTAAGAGTATGCCACTTCCTTAGTAAGGAGTAAATGGACCTTAGTATAAAGATCCTACAAGTGGTTATCTGTTGCTAGACATATATGCGCTTATTTGCATCCTAACTGTGTAGCAATTGTTAGGGACCTCAATTTCCTTCTCTACTAACTTTCTTGTCATCGTTAGGTCTAATCTAATCATTAGATTAGAATCTCAATTAGATATTTTTACCTCCCACTAAAATAACTTCAGTTTTGAAACCAGCAAAGAGTTAGCCATTGATGATTAAGTAGCTAGGAACTAAAGGTTTTGTCCTTTTTGCAATTACTGTATAGATTTTAGCTGTTTAACTCACCCATTGTTAACTGTGCCATTTAGGCAATATGCTATCTGACTCCCACTAGGTTCCTATGGCTAACATCTCCCTGGAGCCTGGGTCACCATGATAAAGGGTGTTAGAGCTGTTCTTCAGGAATTAGAACCCCTTGTCCACTTCAGGCCGGTTGAGACCACCAACCCATAAACTGACCCATAAACAGACGTCTGATAAGTGACCTTTTGACGTCAAGAGGCTAAAAACTCCACCCTCAGATCATGCTAATGCTGCCATTTTGAGAACATGCGTCCTGTGAAGAGGCGTGGAGTCTGACTACGCTTGCGCAGATCATCAATTACCTCACCTCTCCTCACCTCCAATCACCTCTCCCCACGTTTCAGACCACCTTGCCCCTCTACTCCATAAATATCCCTGAGTCCCTATTTTCGGGGAAGCAGATCTGAGACTCATTCTCTTGCTTCCTCACTTGGCTGCCTGTGATTAAACTCTCTCCTTGCTGCAATCTTGTCATCTCAGTGTTTGGCTTTTTGAGTGACAGGCAAAAGTGAACCTGGTTCGGTAGCCGTTTTAACCGGATTCACCAGGTATGTTGATGTGGAAGCAAGACCCCAAAATTAACACCGTAATAACTTACCCTGTAAGTTGATGTTTATCACTGAAACAACCATACTGTGAGTAATATTCCTCCATCATGGACAACACTCATGTTTATTGAGCATTATGCCTTGCCCTCTGGTTTCAAGCAGGAGGGTGAGGTGGGCAGTGGCTGGAAAGATGTCATCCAAGGATGGCGCATAAGGAACACACACGCTGCCTGGCCCCCTCCTTACCCATACCAGACATTGCTCATCCATTAGGCATTTTTTCCTGCCAAGTCACTGTCTCATGATCCTTTTCAACACAGCCACAAGGAAGCCACTATAAATTGATAGGTGCTGGTAGATGAGAGAAGATCTATTTGCCAACCCAGTCCTTTCTTACTTTGTTGTTTTCAAAAACTAGTTAGAAAAACGATGCCCAGAGAAAAGTATCAGAATTTATTCTGAATACATTCTTCAGAGTAAGAGTTCACAATCTTAATGATGTTTAGACACTCAGAATCTAAGCGGTACTACACATATTACTCATATTTGACTCTTATGAAATATACTTGAGATATAAATATATACAAATTAAAAGAAAAAAACAAAAGTCTGAGTTAAAAAGCTCCTTCAGATATAATTAGATGTTCCCTAACGTGTGAAGAATTCAATTCTGGTTATCATCTTGGTTCTCATATCCAGAAGGGGCAGACCAGCAAAGCAGCTCCCAAGAAAAGCAGCAGACCAAAAAATGCAATTTGCAAGATGTATTCTCCTCTGGGGGTGCCACACGTTACACTGCAGCTATGAGTCAGACACCTTAGTGGGAAGGAGATGATGCTAGTGGGCCAGTTAAGAGGCCTCCTTCACTTACGGAGGCATGAGTTGGCAGCTCAGCAGAAGGGAAGCTGACAAGAAGATCCTGAAGATGCCCTGAGGGAGCAAGGAAAGGCGTAGAGTACAGGTCAAGAAATGAAAGTGCAGCAAAGCTTTTCTTTTCACATTCCTAAACCACCTTGGCAAATCAGAATGGTAATGTGCATATGACCCTAGACTCCCACTGCTATTGTCAGTCTTTCAGAGAACAAAGACAGGAGAGACTTCAAGGAACTCTCAAGAAAAACAAAACTTCGAGTGCCACACCAAGTAGCACCTTAGCATTTTCAAGCTGAAACTGTCTTTATTCACCTCGCTCTCAGCCAGTCTTCTCTTTGTACAGATGAAGAGATTAAAGCCCAGAGAAGTCAAAAGTTTAGCAAAGTTAGACAACAGAGCCAGGGTTAGGAGCCAAGAGACCCGACCATTGGCCCAAGGGCTTCTCCTTTCTTCCTGCCTTTTCACAGACAACGGCCTTGACAATCGAAGAGCAGGGGACTTCATAGGTCAAGAGACTCATGACCAAGTTACTGGGTCATTGAGTTGCTACCAAGTTGAGGAATCATCCTTTGTGTGGAGGTCCCTCTTGGCAATGCCCTTTTTGAATCTCTGTCAATGTCCATCATGAATCAGTAATGAATGCCAGCATGGTGGCAGACTAAGACCGATTTTATGAAGAAACAAATGGGTCAGTGGGGGAAAGCTAATAGTGTGCTGACACTTCTGATTCCTTGAATGAGGTATTAGGCCTGAATTATTATAGCAGGAAATGCTAAACTACTATGGAAAGAAAAAATGTGATTACTCATGTCAATGTTAAAATTGCCATTTTTCACCAAGGGATTAATCACCATCCATGAAACCTGCTGGACTTGATAGAAACTGCTTTCCTCTTCCCCATGAATTTTCCACCTTGGCAGTAGAATTCCCTATATATAATCATGTGATCCCTTCCAGAAATTAAAGAAACTCTAGTCTAGAGAGTGCCTTAAGACTATTCTAGGTTTAGGAGATCACCTCAACAGGATTAGGATGAGGGTGTGGCAAAAGAAGTGCTTAGGGTGCAAAATTTATGGAAGAAGTCCCTATCTGGGTCATGCAAGTTCAAAGTTGGCACTGAGAATGCGTGCCTCCTTAAATTTTATGCCCCAGGCACCTCCCTTGCCTCACTGCTGTCCTGTCCCTGCTCTTCATACTGTTTGACTGCCCAGGGTTCTGGATGGGGATGGGAGGAGATGGGATGAGTCAGGAAGGGCATGACAGAGGGCATTTCAGACAGGGAAGCATGGATGGGATGCATGTTGGGAGACCTAACACTCAAACATCCAGGACCCTGCTCCTTTGACAATTGGCATGTAGGGGTGTAGGGACTTCTGCTGGTCTGCAACCAGGAGATCAGATCCAGAAGGAATGATTAGGCCAGAATATGGGTGCCTTTAGCTGAAGCCTGAAGTCAGAGATCTGAGCGAACAGTGGTGACATGAGGAGGGGGACAGGTCGGGTGGGAAGATGAACAGTACTGGGAAGGTCGGTCCAGTTGGGGTTAGCAAAAACTAATCTCTGAGGTAGGACCCCAGGCAACAGGAACTGAGCTATGACAGTCAGAGAAGGATCAGCAGCCAGGCAGATCCCTGTTAAGTCAGATGAGCTCCAGACTTGGGACTCTTGTGTCTCCCTTGCCAGGGCAGGGCTGGGGTCGGGGGAGAAGGTGATGAGCTGGGCAGATCATGGAACTTGATAGTCCTCCTCCCCAGTTGGTTCCCTTGCATAGCTCAGGGCTAATCTTCCTTTAAAAAAAAAAAAAATCCTGGATGTTCTGATATATTTAAGAAGAAATAAGAAGTGATAGAAAAAACTCCCAGAGTTCTGGAGCCTGCTGATTCATTTAACCAGCCATACGACTGGAGGCAACGTCCTTCTCCATGTTTTGGTTTACTCATTTATAAAATAAAAGATTTGTTTTGGATGATCTTTGATAAATGCTCAAACTTTAAAATGCTGTGAGTCAATGGAACAAAAAGCAAGTTTCTTCTGATAGGTGTGTTTTCTTCTCCTGGGAAGACTGCCCGACCATCCCCATCCCACAAGAGTAGCTCCTGTGCTAAGAAGCCCTTTTCTTCTCTTGAAGCCCACACGGTTCTGCCCACATCATCTTCCCAAGCACGCTGAGGCACCAGTTCATTTCCTTCATAGCACCGACTACAATCTGTCATTGTATATTTATAGGCTTGTTTGTTTTATACAGAGTGTGTCTCCCACCAGATTGCAAGCTCCATGAGAACAGATATGATGCCTGCTTGTTTACCAATGCATATCCAGTGTCTTAGCGCAGTGCCTGAAACAGAAAAGACTCCTGGTTAATGCCTGTTGAATGCCATTTTCCCTTTTTTGGTCAGTATAGTAGCTGTCATTGATTAAAGGCTTACCAGGGGCCAGACTTTGTGCCGGTACTTTGTATGTATTTCTTCATTGACTTGGCACAACAACCCCATGTGGCAGGTGCTATCTGTTTATAGATAAGGACACTGAAGATCAAAAAGGTCATGGAGTTGATATACTCTAGAACCTGGACCCAAACCACATATGACACCCAGTGCCTGAGCCCTGAACCCCTGCAACATGCTGCCTTTGGATCCTCAGTGGCTTGGGCCGGACACATGGCAGGTCCTCAGGAGGTGTTTAGTGGCTCGAGTCCCTGAGTGAAGGATTTAACAGATGGTAGCTGGAGGTTAGTCCTTCTGACCCATGGAGCAAGTCCTCTGAAGCTCCAATGCCCGGGTGGACTCTGAAGGCCGGAGCCAGGATTGGTAGAGTAGAAAATTTCTTTCTAACAGTAAAAGTCATTCTCATTCTGTGGAGAGTTTAACAGAGATCCTTTCTTCCACTGTATGAGGGTGTGACTTCAAATTTTTCTCAAAATGCACATTTTTAATTAGAGTACTTTACGTGGGTTGCCAAGCTTCTGGGAATTAAAAGGACACTTGTGCCTGGGGGACAGTTACAGAGGCTGATCCCTGGGTAAGTGCATAATAAAAATACACAGAGAGCGACCGAAATGAAACCCCCGGGAAACCTTTTCACTCAGTTTCAAATACCTAGAAAATGACTTGGCAGCTACAGAATGAAAAGAAAGAACAGAAACAAAAGCTGATGCCAATTTACTTAATTTAGGATTCTTTTTCCGGAGGGAATCCTTCTGAGAATCTAGAGTTGGCAGAGATTTTGGAGACAGTCATGTCTAAGACACCCCCCTTCTGCAAATGGGATGATGAGGCCTAAAGAAGTCGTGTCAAGGTCAAAGCAAGGTCAAACCAAGCAAGCCAGGAGTGGGAAAGAAAGAAGAAGAAGTGTCACTGAATCCTACAGCAGCCACCCTCCTGGGCCCTTATGCCACTGCTAGAAATTTACTGATGATGAGGAAGATGGGAGGTGGTGGGGGGGCAGCTGTCTGGTGACATGGCTCTTGCTTTGCTCAAAGGAAGATTAAAATACTAAGAAGATCAGATGCTGAGGAATATAGAGTCATTTATTACTGTTGTTTGTCTCCAAGACTTCATCCGGTCAATTGGGGCCTCTTCTCTCATGCTTGGGTCCCCCAGCCCTCAGACACATTGCTGTCACTTATGGGTCCCTTAAAACTGAGAGTGGTACCAATAAGATGGCCAAATATCGTGGACTGAACAGGAATCAGAATAATGTTAATGTGCTTAGAGAAAGAAAGGGCCATTGAATGGGGCAGGGGGCTGGGGGAGGTTAGTATGGTCAGCATTAAAATATATAATTCAAAGGGCAGAATTGTCTGGTACATTCCACCCATTCAGAGGGGAGGGATATGGTATCTGAGGGATGCTAGTAGATCTAATCACCAGAGATACAGGGCTGGGATGTTGATATGTTTAATTTTCTAGGAAAATTTCCATGAAATATTTCTTCCAGCTCAATCTGATTCTATGGTCAACAAATAACCTTCTTATAAATACTTTAATAACCAGACACCTTGATTCTAGGAATAAAATATAAGCATGAGCACAGGACTGCTGAGAACGAGTTCGAGCCCCAGTGAAAAAAAAAGATTTGAGGGCTCCAGCAAAGGCAGACAGCTAAAAACCTTCACAGGGGTTTTAAACTGATTTGCAACATGGTCAGGCCAAGGTCCCCTTCCCAGCCTGGTGGCCCCAGTAATTTGTCCCCAGCTTCTACCTTCTCACGTGGAATCATCAGCCCTTATGGACATGAGCATTCCAATAACTGGGGAGAGGGATCATGCTTGTTAGAAATAAATAAATTGGTGGTGTGGCTTTTTGTCCACTCCCGTGTTGTGAGGTATTGAGAGGGAGCCTTTGTGAGTCTGTGGACCTGATAGGTGAGGGCTGGGTCCTAAAGCCTGTTAAGTATCTGAGGTCACAATCCCCCTCTTAGAGACGTCTCGACAGGCAGCCACTCTTCAGCAGATGATGCCCTTCCTCCATCTCTCCCAGGGCCTTTTTCACTTCCAATCCTCCCCCCAAGGCTACCTCTGCCGGCTGGTTGCTCTCATATTACGATGCCTGGGGCTACATGGCGGGAGAAGGGGCTGCTCCTGACTTTGTTGGTTCCATGTGGCTGTGGTTAAGGCTTTTCACCTCCCTATGGCCCTGTGTCTCGGGTCTTTCACTGGCACAATGGGCATGCTGCCTCTGAACCTTTCCCACAGGCCAAGTGAAATCACATAGAGGGAAGGGATTTTGTAAAGCATCAAAAGTTTTACAGATGCAATATACTAATACTAATTCTACCAGTTCACATTTCTATACATGCTCCATATACAGTTATGAAGATCATAAAGATCCTTTTCTCCAACCACTCGCCTTTAAATGGACAAATGCCCAGGACAGATGGTCTGATGGCAAGTGATCTGAGGGTGACCTTCTTTTGGTCACCCCAGTGTTTTAGAACCAAAAAATCTCAACTCACTTCTGTTAACAAATCAAGATCTTTTCTTCTAAATATAAGTCCATTTCCTCCTTGTTCTTTCAGGAATATAAGAAATGATCAGGAAAGATTTAATTCACAAAACACCTTCATTCACTTGAAGATTGTCCTAATGGAATCTTCCAATTTGCTCACCTTTAAACAAACAAACAAAAATTCTAATTATCTTGATTCCCATATCTCATTCCCTAAATTTTACTTTGTGTCTCATGTAGATCATTGTTTTTATTTCATTAGCTAAAAGTCTGAGCATCTGTAACAGTTTTTCTTTAGCATCAAGCAACATAACTTGAGAATCTCTGTTTTCTTACAGCTTGTTTATTAACAGACCATTTAACAGCTGTTCTGGACTAAAGGTGAGTACATTCACTTGCCTAGAAATCCTCTTTCCATGTTATTTGTAGTGTAATTGTCTTCGTCGTCATAGTAATAGGGTATTTATAAAATGATTAAATAAATTCCTAATATGGCTAAGATTCTAGAGGAAGAAACAAGGGACGCTGAACTCTCATCTTTCCCACTGATTTTTTTAGAAGGTTCTGACAATCAATTTCCATGTGGCCCCAGCCTATAAGAATCTTCCGGTTTATGTCCTTAAGGCAGATGTACGTACAGTGAAATAGTGTTCACGCTGGGGCTGGTGTTGCTAGGGAGAAAACGTGCTTATGTAATAAATCTTGGCAGGAAAGCAAAATAATTCCCTACTCACAAAACATTTTTCTCAGTCCATTCTCTCTGCACCATTCTGAAAAAATCCGGAAATCAAACTAGCATTCTTTATTTTTAGTCCATCCAAAATTTTACTCACTTGAAGCATGTGGGCATGAGGCTATCTTTAGAACCAGCAACCAAACGCCTTGGAATCATAGATTATTAGTGCCTGGGCAATTCTCTAGATGGTTTTTTTTTTCAGCTTAGGAACTCCACTATGTAAAACTGAGGTGGAGTGGGGGACCAGAAGTGTTGCTCCGTTGGTCTCCCTGCTTATCTTCTTCTTGGGTACTACCATGTGATCTTAGGGTTCCAAGAAACAACTAGAAAACCACTGCTCTAGGATTCATTTTTCAGGAAGCAACAGAGGCCCAAAAAGGATGAAGTGACTTGCTTGAAGTCCCCCAGTAGTAGCCGACAAGCCAAGAGAAGAATTCAGGTTTCTTGACTTGCAGTTCACGTCCTTTCCATTGCACAGCACATAAGATACTATCATAACAGAAACTACTTTTTTTCTTATTATTAGCCAAAAAAGTTCAGCTGAGAAACAGATGACTGGTTGGGGAAGTTTGCCTACTGGAGGCACGAGGAGATCAAATGACCTAATCAAAAAATACACAGTAGCTCTTTTCTTTGACTGAAAGGAGAGTGAAAAGCGCAAAGGGAAACCAGCATAAGACTATTTCCTACAAGTTACTCCATTATAGTTTGCCATGTGCGCTGTACTGAAGGATACTTGCCCTGCTACTCACTGCCTGTGTGACCTAGAGCAAGTCACTTCACTTCTCTGGGCCTCGGGGGCTCTTGTCCCCTCTGAGAACACTGTGCATTGGCCATTGGCCTTTGGACACCATGGTGATCTGTTGTCTTTCCCAGATTGGCCCCTTCCTTCCACGTCTCAGTACTTCTCATAGAGCCAGAACATTCTTAATCTCATACTATTTTTTTTCCTGTAGATATTTTGTGCATTTAATAATTGTCTTCCCGACTGGACAGTAATTGTTTTTGCCTGACCGTGTCTTTTTACTTCTTTAACATGTGTTCTCTTTGTCCTCCTCTATAAGTGTTGTCTTACTTATAATGCACAAACACAGACACCTGCAAAGACTCCCCCTCTGGTATTTCCAGAAGCACTGGGGGAATCTCATATGTACTTCCATACAATCTGTCCCTCTCTCCTTTCCCCCTTTCTCTACTCCAGGCCTCCCTAGATAGTACCATGCCCATTTGGCACCATTGCATCTGCCTCGCATCACTGGGCTTCTACTGGGCACTGCTATGCCCTCTTGTTGCTGCTCCTTGCTAGGTGAAGAAAATGACTATGGTAGCTGTGGATATTTTCTTCCTTTCTTTGATGTGTATGTATGTGAGTGTGTATGAGTGGGCATTTACAATCTCTCCCTTTCCTTCTCCCTACTATTTATTCAGTCCCCGGGCTACTGGATATCTAGTCAGGATTGTGACTGCATTAGAGAAGGAATAAACATCATGTAGAGGTGGAGGCACTGACCAATGAGACTGGGAATCTTTCCTTGCTAAGTGCATTTTCATTTGTATAAAGATGAGTTAGATGACGTTAGGTTGGCCCATGTTGTCGCTGCTGCTCTTATCTAAAAGTTTAATTATGAAGAGAAGGGTGTATATGGATCTTGAATAATAAAAGAGGTGGAACCTTGCTCACTCAACACCTATTTCAATCCCTTTAGCTTGCCTTCCTGAGAATAGGAAGCTAGAATTAGATTTCCCAAATCCCCTTCCAGCTAGGGCGCTTGCTTGAGACACGATATGGCATAAGACTGAAATTAAGATTCACTTGACATCTGGTAAAGTTGAGAGGGCCTCATATGGCCTAATCTCAAGTCCTCCACCCCTTCTACCTCAGTGGATAAGGTCCCTTAGCCAAACAGCCCTCCTTATGATGGGGACCAGGCCCAGTGCCTGCTTATCCCTGAGCGTCAGGTTTCAGTTTCCTGTCAGCCTGTGGAATTATTCAAACAAGCCAATCACATCCTCCCATGGGAACCATGAGTCACCTCACCCTCTTGTTACTACAAAGCCTGCCTCCTACAGTCCCTGCTTGTTCACTCTGTTCCGGAGTACAACCCGGTGTGGCCCTGTGTGGTGTGCTGTGTCCTCCTACTCTGGATGGTGAGTACACGTGACCAAGAAACTGCTATCAAAATCATCCATCCAGTGTCAGTGTCATGTGTTGAGCCATCCTCATAACCCTAGAGCAGGAACCCCTCCTTCACCAACCAGGTCGAGAGGGGGTGAGTAAAACACACGGTTCTGCCAAGTAGGTTCTCTTGCATGAGGTTTTTAGGCAAAAGTGAGCAGCTTGGGAGTAGCTACATGTGGAGAGTACAGACAGAGGCACCTGTTCTTCCAGGATGGCCATGGAGGAAGGTTTGGTGTCCATTCCCTAACACAGGGCAGCAGGAGGCAGCGATACTTGCTTTGCCACTAGAACGGTCTTGCATTGCGGATTGGCTTTTCTCCTGGCTCTGTTGGATCTGGCTGCCCTTTTCCTGCCTCAGTATAATCCTAAACTGGTTCTCTGGATTTCTAGAACTCCATAAGCTAACTACTATATTTTAACAAACTACTTTCTACCTAAATTATGTGAAGTGCATTCTAATGTCTGCAACTAAAACTGGATGATATAAGTGGCTTAACAACATACGGTTGAGTTTATCTCACAAAACATAAAATCTGGAACTAGGTAGTTCTGGGATGTATAGACCTTATTCTATGGTGTTATCAATTTGTTATCAGGAAGTATGTCTTTCTGAAATGGATTTATCCCCATGGCTGCAAAGGTCGTTGCTCCATCTTCAGCCTTATGTCTGCATTCCAGGCAGAAAGAGGAAAGTGACCTGGGGAAGGAATATAGATTCATTTACTTTTGCTGGATAACTAACAAAGCCCAAAATCTAGTAGCTTAAAACAACCATTCTGTCAGTCAGCTGCGTGGTTCTTCAGGTCTGGGCTAGCTTAGCTGATCTCTGTTGGGCTCACCCGTGCATCTGCATTCACCCAGCGAGTTGGCTGGAGGTTGGATGATCTAGTATGGTTAATTCACATATCTAGTTGTTGGCATGTTGCTGGCAAGAGCAGTGGGAGTACCCAGACTACATGTTTCTCATCATTCAGCAGGCTAGCCCTGGTGTCTTTCTGTGGCCATCTCAGGTTTCCAAGAGCAGCAAGAAAGGGCAAGTTCCATCGTGCAATAACATTTCTGTTTTCATTTGCATCTTATTTGTTATTGTACACTGGCCAAAGCAAGTCACAAACCAAGCCCAGAGTCCAGAGGTGGAGAAATAGTCTCTGCTTCTTGATGGGAGGAGTTGCAAAGTCAATTCCAAAGGTATAGCAATGAGAAGAATCGTGGCCATTCTTGCAAACTACCATGGAAAGGCACCAAATCAGGAGACCAGAACTTTTCCCAAATCCCCAGTAGACTTCTAACTGCTTCTCATTAGCCACAACTATGATTTGTCATATGATCATCCCTAACAGCAAGGAGGGCTGTGAATGTTGTTTATCTGGGCTGTTCCTCCTCCTGGGACAAAACTGTAATTCTCTGAGTAATAAAAGGTAAGAGAATGGGAATTGGGTTGGTGTGAAATAGTAAGAAATGTGTGTGTATATATATATTTGTCTCTGTCCTTGGTCCCTGCTAATTTTTGGTCTTTGACCCTGGTTCCTGACACAGTTCCAAAAACCTTGTAATTTACTGAGTGATAGAAGTGTCTGACTCAAGACTCCTAAATCCCATGGATTTCCTGGGTGATAGGAGTGTCTTTTGTCCTGATGATGTGCCTCTTGGTGGGCTCCTAGATGAACGTGGTCACTAGAAAGACCAAGGCACAACTGGAAGCTTGGAACTTTCAGCCCCATCCCTTATCCTGGGAGAGGAGAGACAGGCTAGAAAATGACTTAACAATCAATCATGCTTACGTGATGAAGCCTCCATAATAACCCCCAAAGTACGGGCATCAGAGAGCTTCCAGGTTGGAGAACACATCTACTTGTTGGGAGGATGGAGCACTCTAACTCCATGAGGACAGAAGATCCTACACTTGGGGCCCCCGTGACCTCGCCCTAGGTATCCCTTCATCTGGAAGTTCATCTGTATCCTTCGTCATGTCCTTTATTACGTAATAAACGAGTAAACATAAGTAAGAGTTTCCCTGAGTTCTGTGGGCTGTTCTAGCAAGTGATCAAACCCAGAAGGGGGTCATGGGAACTTCCCATTTGTAGCCAGGTTGGGCAGAAGTTGTGGGTAACTTGGGGACCCATGACTTGCAATTGGTGTCTGAATTGGGGGGCAGTCTAGTGGAACTGAGACCTTAACCTAAGGATTCTGCCCCAACTCCAGGCAGTTAGTGTCAGAACTGCTTAGTGTGGAAAACCCACACATCTGGTCGCAGAAGTGTTCTTCTGTGTGAGTGAGTAAAGGAGCACCGTGTGTTTCTTATAGACAGTTGGATATTGGCAGTATCTGCCATACACAACCTGAGGCACTACAATGGAACACTTCTATGAAACTGAATTTTCATTCTCTTGTCCATGGAAGACTGGGTGGTGGACAGACACCACAGTCTCCTCCTACCACTCAATGACAAAGGCTTTGTGAGTGTTCAACTCTCTTTGGGCCCCCTAGTATTTAGATCACCAGACAGGCTCAGGCATCACTGTTGATTGACCTTGGTCTGTCTGTCCCTCAAACACACACAACACGTATTCACTCCCAATTCCCCCTACCCCAGCTATCACCCACCAAGCACACAGCACATGCGTTAGACCTTGGTGGAAGAGTAAGTCTGCCATTGAAGTGCAACCCCATTCATGGCCCAGGCCCTGAGGCCGCTTACAATGAGTCCAGCATGTTACTATTAATTCTGCTGTTTCATAGTCATGAGATGCAAAGCACAGGCGACTAGCAACACACTGTCTCGTACAGCCCTTGTGATCTAGAGAATCTGTGTTGTTTTGTACAAGAATCCAGTATCCTTCTTTGTGTGCCTTTTGAAAAATTGAAACGTTCCCAAAGTCTGGAGACAAACTTCCGAGTGAACTGCATCTGAACTTTTTAAATTCTTTTTTTTTTTTCCCCCTTGGTTAAATCTCAGTGGAGCCGGAGATGATCATAATTTTCATGAACACAAACTAAAGGTTTTGTTGCCTGTTGAGCAAAGTAGCTGCTTCCTATTGCAAAAGAACTGATTCCTATTCTCATTGCGTTGGCGTTTTCATTAAAATTTCCATTATCCTCTTCCTTCCAATGCAGTTATAGATGAAATTGTCCTGACAATGTTTCTCAAGCAAAATCACTCCTGACGCAAAATATACGAAAGGGATATAGGAGGAAAAGAGCCATGCTGCCCGAAATATAGATCATCTTGATAAGGAAGAAAAATTTTTTTGTCTCAGGCTTCATAATCATTTTAGGAGTCTGTTATTAGCTTCATCAACCATACCAGGCCCAGAAAAACAAATCTGGATTGAGATACAGTCATGGTGGAAGAAGTAGAATGGTGGGACATAAAGATGCTCTGATGACAATGGCGACCTATTTGTTGAGGGCCTACTCTGAGCCAGACCCTGGCCCCAGAATCCTTATCTTACCTGTGCAGTCCACCGCACTTCATGTGCTACAAGCTGGCCTCTGATTGGCCTTCTCCGGGAACTAGAGGGCTAAGCCTGTTACAGCACAGACTTCCAGTTCTGGCTCTGCTTGTGCTAGGTGACCTTGGCCAGGTACTTTATGCTCTCTGTGCCTCAGTTTTGTTATCTAGAAACCTATGCTAATGACGCTTTCCCTATCATCCTACTTTGCAGGGTTCTGGTCAAGTTGAACGCGTTCAAAAGTGATTTGTCAACTAGAAAACTCTATTCCAACATAAAGATGGATTGCCAAAAGTCATAAACAAAACTTGGTGTGTTAGTCAGCCATCCCCAGCATGATCAAAGTCAAGTCTTCATCTCTCTCCTCTCCTCGGAGAATGGTAGCAGCCCTGTACTTCCATATGTCTACTGGGGAAATCAGAAAAAGGAAGCATTAAGCCCTTGGCTTCATGATACCAAAGCCGTCACTTCTGAGTGCATACTCTGAGCCAAGGAAAATCTTTCACATGCATTATCTCATATAATCCTGGAAACAGAACTATAGTTCCTATTATATAGGCAAAGACACTGAGGCTCAGAGAAGTTAGGTAACCTGCCATTATCATAACACTAGTAAGTAGAGGGGCTGGGTTTCCAGTCCTTGTGTGTTTGATCTCAGAGCCTGGTCTTAATTGCCGTGAGGTGCTTATTTTTACTGAGGAAGAATAAGAAATTACTGCTCTTGGAAAAAGAAACTCCGAAGAGCTAAGTCCAATTCATCTTGTCCCAACAAACTAACTTACATTTCTACTTTATTGCCCTTTGTTTCCAAATTTCCTGAGGAATTTTTTCTTTCAAAATCACCTTCGATATAGTCCCATTTTTGCAAACACATATTGAGTGCTTATTAAGTATCAAGTGTAAATTCTGCTTAATCCTCATGCCAATCTATAAGGTGGATATTATTATTATCCCCACTTTAAGGATGACAAAACTGAGGCACAGAAAAGTTACGGAACTTATCTAAGGCAACATGGCTACCGAGACACAGAAACACGTTCAAACTGGGGCAGTCTGATCTCAGAGCCTATGCCACTACATTCTATGCAGTTAAACGTTTGAAAGAATACACACCAAATTACCAGCAGTTATCACTGGGGAATTGGATTTAGATGGGAAATAGGAAGAGAAAGATTTTCGCTTTCTTTTGTCTTCACTTAGTACTCTTGAAAATTTTAGCAATGTACATATGTATGTATAATTTTTATAATTAAATGTATATCTTTGTAGGTTGAATTATTTTTGCCCTCAATAAAGTTTGGACATTAAGCACAAATTAATTATTTCTGGTCAAGGGACTGACCATTTTCCAGAGGATTCCAGATATTTGGAAAAGATGAAGCAGAGCCTGCATCTGTCAAGTAGGTCTAGCAGTTGGGGTCCTCTGTTCTCTTTCCCCAACCTTTATCCCAGTGCGTGGCCAGCAGACAGGGGGCTCTGTGGCTGCATTATGTGGATTTATATCCACTCCGAACCAGAGGGCAAATGGAAAAATGTAAATTTGGCAGCTGCTTTTGTGGGCACTGACCTGGCAGGACTCATTCAGTCCCAGACCTCACCCTGGGAGCGATCTCCCACATCCGCTATAATTTATTGACAAGAGTTGTTTCTCTTCCTGAGGCTGAAGGAATTGCCTAGCACAATTTTAAACAAAGCACCGCACGGGTCAAAGAGATGAACTGAATCATCATTTCCTCACACCACCAGCCCTGCCCAGGGTAATATTTTTCCCTCCATCGTCTCTCATTTTTGAAGATGCCGGCAGCACAAATCATCTCCAGACATTTCCCATTGTCCCCTTGTCAGCCTGAAACAAAGGCAAGTCACCCCTCTCCCCAGCCTTGACCCAGCTAGGCAGCTGAGACCTTTCAGCACCTCGTGGCGAGCAATCTTTTCAAGATAAGCATTTCCAATAATACACGATGTTAACTTAGAAATACATAGGTTTCAAATTTTCCTACTGTCCCAAATGTCATCAATTAAACAGACTGTGGCTTTCTACATTTTGGACGGACTGATGAAATCACAGGACATTATCATCGTTATTTCCAGAGACCTGATGGAAGTTTGCCATCACACAATGAAGAATTTGGGGTCAAGCATTTAAAAGACTATTCTCATGTTCTCTTAGAATTCAAGGTATCCCACCATCTGGCCTCCTGCCTCTGCCCCTTCCTGATATGGGACACTCCAATATGTCCTCGAT